TTTGAGCGAAGGAAGTGTTACGGTACTGCAGCTGCGCACATATTTATCCCACACATGGCAAGGACCAGGATGAGAGTTGGTTTATCTTTATGTCGATAAAATGGAAAGTAAAGAACTAGCAAAATACAAGAGGAACAGTTTGCTGAATTTCATCTGGGAAAATCGGTTAAGACACGAGTTTCCACCACTAATCTTGAAAAGTGCTTAAAGTTAGTTCCGTGCTGCGACGAAGGCCGCAGAAGAGGTATTGCAAGCGTGCGAGGTCGAGCTGGTGCGTTTTTTTCGCACCAGTACCAAATCTGTCCAACGTGACAGTGCTTGTGTCGAATCAGCTTGGAAGTGCTCTCCTAGCTTAATCTGCGCTGCTCGCGGCGGCATGGAACTCACCCTGTCTATCCATTTCTGTTTATTGTTGCTTACTATCAGTAATACAAAGTATTAAAGAGATCACCATCTTCGTCCATGGATACTTCTTCAGTCTTCGATCCCGACAACTCCTTTGCCAGCGGTAGAAAGCGTTTAAGGGAAGATGAGGTAACTGTAGAACTTGAAGATTCCGCTTGTCTTAGATGTCATGGTTCTTCCTTATGAACTGTTGTTACAGCCTTCAAAACCATCGACTTCAAAGCAACAGAAATTGTCATTTGGATCGTCCATGAAGGGAAAGGAGAATGCGCGGTTAGTGACTTTGCCCTCCAAATACTGTTCTTTATACAGATGTTATTTGCTCAAGGGAGCTACCAGGATTGTTATCATTTCGAGATCTGGGGCCTAAAAGTCGTAATCGTAAACTGCTAGTAAAATTCAGTTTATGGGATGAAAATAATGTAAGCCTCAAAGGTGCCCACCTGCATTAGGATGTTCTAAAGGGGTACATCACTGCGTTTTGGAAAACGTCAGTAGGGATTGGCATAACACTAGGTAATAAATTCAAATCACCACGAACGATTGCATGCGCAAGGAAACGAAGCTCGCTGAACGTTGATACGATGACATCCATTCAATAAAGGCCAACTCCGCCGTATGGATACTGGCTCACTCACAAACCCATAGTTGCTGAATAACTTTCCGGGGAAGAAAAACGCAAAAAAAAAACCGTGGAGAACACCCTATGTGAAGACCTGGTAGTCTCTCTGGACGAGTTTTCCGGACCTGCTCGTTTTATTCCAGCAAAGCTATTTCCTACCACTTCTAGCTCAGTAATGGTTTCTCCGTGTCAATCACTACTAATAACATCATATAACGAAAAAATGGAAAACGTTTTGTAAAAACTGAACTTATTACAGGAAATAGCTTTTGAGCTTAAGTGGGCGGGACAGCTGGGGAGGCGTCAGAAATGCCACTTGTGAGGGTCACAGCGTCTTCATCACTTACTGAAGCAGTGAAAAAGATTATCTTAGCCACTGAGCTAGACTACTTGTACGGGAAGGTGCCTACGAGTTGCTGAGCGCGGGGAACTTCTGTGTCTTCAAGGGTGATCTTTGACTCCGTTCAGACAGAAGCGCCTGTCGGAACCTCAAGCGACGAGGGTGTTCTTACTTTTTGACAGCACTACAGTACATTTCGCAACTGGAATTGTGCCGTTTTTGAGTGCATTGCTTTCAACGCGAAGCAAGGGCTAAGCATGGCGTCGCTGTAAATGGATCAGTCCCCTCCCTGTCAGCGAAATATCCGTAAAACCTTTCCACTGATTTTTTAAAGGCAACGAAAACGCCCCTCACTTCAAAAGAATTGTACTCCCACTGCCACTGCTCATTGAAGAAGGGGTTATCTATGGCGAAAGTCGAAACTCTCTGAATTTTTTCTTTCCCTGTTTGAGTCCTCCAGTCGAGGTGGAGGCTGGAAAAAACATCGTGAACGTTGCCTGACGTTCTCAAGGCAGTGCAGTCCTGGATCAGAATCAGAAAGACCAAAAATGAAATCAATCCAGAATTGGAGCACGTTCAAAAGAGTAAGCGTTTCTCTGGAGCGTGAGAAATAAGCTTTGGGCTGAAGAAGATGGGTGAGCCCAACTATTTGTTGATATTTTCAGAACTGCTTATTCTCTATGGATGGAAAGCAATGAGGAAGCATTGCATAGTATGTTCAGTGGAAATCCAGAAGATTTTGTGAAGTTCTGCGCTCAACAATTCCGAATGCTTCCAGCGCTCGAGAAGAAGGTTAGTTTTATCTAAAATATGTAGCGAACGCGTTCCTTGTGACTCATCGACGGTTTTATACTTTTAAGTACTAGTTTAGCATACTACTCGGCGTGCATTTGTAAGAGGCTAGCAGCAGCTATACAATACTTGAAGTCTTTAAAACCCTCTTCTATTCAGTGATATTGATATCGAGAAACATTTTCAAACGCGCACTGCATCTGCCAGTTTCGGTAATTCGATTCCCGAACAATTCTTTGCATAGCTCGGCGCTGGTGTGGTTGAGGTTCTCAACTCAAGGACATCTACTTCCCTCAAAAATGAATTTACAGGTTGAACTGTGTTTAGAGCACTGTTGAAAAAGTGATAAAGTGGCATATTGACTTGAACTTTAGACTACCAAAGAGCTAAATACTGCCGCTTTCTTCAGGCTGGACTCATGATTTGATAACTTTTCAAATTTTTTTTTCAGGAATGGAAGGCTCGAGCTGAGACATCTCAGCAATGACTGCGTTGCCAACGATCATGTTTTTCCGTAACATGTAGGGCTGTTCTTTTATGGTATACTTCTTGATTGCTGTACGGTTCTATCTGATCTAATGTCACTGTACTAAATCTCTCTATTAATCCATCCCTCGGGAACATCAGCCGGTAGTCTCAACTGGTGTGGGCACTAACTGGTACTCAGCAGAAATTATATTCGGCCTAGTGGACGAGAAGCGTCATTTACCAGTCATGACGAGTGCTGCAAATAGGCGTTGCAAGCGGGGTTACTTACGCAGCGTTTTTGCTAGGTCCCAGCTCGCTCCCACCGAAGTCTGCTAGGTAACCTCAACTCCTCCTCAAATCGGGCAGCGTCGTAGACTATGACTCCCGAGCATTTTAACCGTTGAAATGTA